AAATTTTTTAAAATTTATATTCGACATGTATTCTTTCAATTTTTATGTTTAATATGTCTATAGAATTTAAAAAATAATTACAAATAATTTACTAAACAACCCGATCAATAATATTAGCATGAGGTATGTTTGAGTTGAATATTAAGGAATTCAAATCATTCTTTTTAATTGTTAAACATTTAAAAAGTTAGTTTAAAATGATTAAGTGATCGCATATTTCTCCTATGCCAGAAGAACTATTGTTTAAGCATCGTGCAAGCCAGAAAGTCCCAAAATAACATTCTCATTTCAATTATGCTTAACAATAGCTTTAACTTTGACATGATAAACTTTGAAGACTTACAATTTTATTGGTTTAATTTATTTATTCAAACAAAATTATATTAATTATTATATTTATCTATTTATTTTGAATTTCATTCCGGCTTGTTTAAAATTTGTTGTGTATATACTTTCAGTATATTTTTAAATGTAGGGGATAAATTATGAAATACATTCTTTATTTTTTGAAATGGGAACGTCAAGCTTAATCCACTAAAACATTAGTCCATTAGAACATCAAGATATAGAAAAATTAAGATAAATGACATCACGATTTATTAATTATTGGACGACTACCACGGGCAAAAGGAAACAAATTAAAAAGTTTTACTTTAAATTAAATTAAACTATATATTATACAATTTAAATAGAGTTTACTTTTATATGTTAGTGGAAACATACATTAATGGAAAACATATTGAGTTAGTCGCGAAGATGTGTTCATTGTGAATATTTTGATATATAATATAAAGTGAAATAACAGTGAATGCTTATATTTCTATTTATAAAATAATGGAGGACATGAAAATAAAAATAAAAATAATATACCCTCAAGCTTGGAAATCCCAGATTCTTGCGAAAAGCGAAGCGCGCGAGGTGTGTATTCAGGAAAGAAAGACTTCAGCCCTCAAAGCTTGGAAGCAGTTTGGCGAGAGCGCTGAGCTGCCCGCAGCGACCATGGCAATTGATGCAATCGAAAACCCCTCGCCTCCCTCTCGCCCATCTTTCCATTTCAGGTACTGGTATAGCTTCCTCCATCCTTTGTATTATGCTAATTCGTGTTTCTATATTCATCGATCCTCGTTTTGTTTCACTTTCTCAGCCTGCCCATTTTTATGTTGCCGTTGACAGGCTCTAGTTTAAGATGGTCGCCTTCTCTCTATCTATGCTCATACACATTTCTGGGATTCCACTGTAATGTTTGTTTGATATTTTTGTAGACTTGTACTTTGTTTGGCAGGAAACGTTGGTGGGTTTGTTGGACGCGGCCGGTCGCCGTCTGTCCTTGCGGATGATCGTGTTCTGCAGTTCTCGCGACGAGATCGACGCTATCTGCTCCTCCGTCTCCAACCTCCAATACATCTCTTTGGCCTCTTTGGTATGTTTATTTTTGCTCAATAAAAGCCCTTCCAAGTGAAATTCGGGAAATTGGTCTAGAAATGCCCAAGCCCGAGCCTGATGGATGCATTCTTTTGTGCCACTTAACGAATAATTTAATCTCGGAGTTACGACTTGCCTGAATTGATCTTCAATGTATGAATTGTCAATATCATAGGACGCTCGGATCAGGAGTCATGACATTATCTTGAACAGGATCAACTCTTTGGGCTGTATTGTTCATCCGGGTCCTAGTTCTATGGATGAGATGCTTTGATTGGTAGAGTGCTATCAATATAATGGCAATCTCTTACATTAATACGCTTGACCTTATTTTATTGTATTTCAGTTGATAGAGGAAACCAACTGGTGAAACTAACCATTACGGATGGTAATTGTGCCATGTGGATTCAATATCTCAATTCTGGGCAATCGCTCACATTAACTCTGGGCAAGTGTTGATTGAATATCAATTGACTGGATGACAAGGTCACCCTATGCAATTTATTGTTTTCAGTATCCTCCATCTTACAGTTTTTGAATACTGCTATATCGTTTTGACCCTGTGTGGGTCAGTTGTTTTCTGTCATTTGTTCACTTACTTTTACTTTATGGTTAATACGGTCTTAGGAACAAGTTTGTGTAAACTTATTCGTGCAAGGGAAAATTACCCCTTTTCATTTAAATCTTACACTGAGTACATTTTGTCTTCTTCCTTCTTCTTGTCAATACGTTACTCATGTTGGCATACATATGGGGTAGCAACCATGCTTTGAATGGATAAGACTTACTTTTTGACTTATATTGATGCAGTGTATTTATTGCTTGTCATCTTCAGTACAGTGACCTTGCTGAAGCAGACCGAGCACTGATTTTAGAGAAATTTCAGAAAACAACATGAAGGTGGAGCCAAAAGTTCAGATCTCTATTAGAAGACAAATGTGAGGTTGAGAAAGTAGGAGAAAATCTCACATGATTGCAGTAACAGACGCCTGCCTTCCACTTCTGGCTTCTGTGGAGTCACCTCTTTCTGCCCATGTTTTGATAAATTATGACCTACCAAAAAAAAAAAAAAAAAAAAAAAAAAAAAAAAAAAAAAAAAAAAAAAAAAAAAAAAAAAAAATTGATATTGTCCGCTTTGACTTGTTATGTATAGTCGTCAGGTTCACGGTTTGAAAACGCGTGTGCTAGGAAGAAGTTTCCACACCCTTATAAGGAATGTTTCATTCCGCTCTATCACCGATGTGGGATTTCACAATCCAACCTCCTTGGGGGCCAGTGTTCTCGCTGGCACACCGCCCGGTGTTTTGCTTTGATACCATTTGTATCAGCCCAAACTTGCCGATAGTAGATATTGTCTATTTTGGCTCGTTATGTATCACCGTCAGATTCACGGTAAAATGCATTTGCTAGAGAGAGGTTTCCACACCCTTATAAAAAGAGTGTTTCGTTCCCATCTCCAACCGATGTGAGATCTTCTAGAAGGTGTAGTTTTCAGACTACGGGATCCTGAGCTGATAATTTGTAAAAATGTGCCTCGGACTATATCAATGGGTAAGACGCCTGCCTTCCTCTTCCTGTTAGTTGAGATGTGGTACTGATCATTCTTTAAGCAAACTCCTAAAACTAGACATTTGAAAAGTTGTCTGAAGTGAATTCGTAAGCAGATTTTGATTATTGTGACAAATTCATAGTTTCTAAACTTCATGTCATTTTTATGGCAGGAAACGTATACGAGGCGCATGACGATCTGCTCAACCTCAGGTTATTCTTTTATACTGCGAAGGATTATAATATAAGTTGCGCAGTTTAGGTTTCTTCATACACAAGAGTTGCTTCCTTAGCGATTCTACGTAGATGGGATCTTAATCAACATGGTTGTTGGGGGTGAAGTGGTAACTCTCGAAAGCATTGAAGGAAGTAGTGGGCTTGTTATTGCTGCTGCCCGTTAATGTAAGTGTTTTACTACTTTCTTTCATCTTCATGCGCTTTGATGGATATAAGTTTTGCCAAGGAAACCAGTCCCAAATAATTATTCCTGAATTTTAGGTGGCCTTTTTCCTATAAAACAAAAAAGTCGCATCGTAGTGTCGCTTCTTTGTTTTATCTACAATTGCTGAACTTGGAAAGAGACCGTGTTGCAGATTTCTGAAATTTTGTGAGGATGTCTGCTATGAAGATGAACATCTTCTGAGGACAACGCAGAAGGTTTTCCTGTCGTACCATCTTTTAGCCCATAACACTGGATTACAATGGCCGGGAAATACGTTATCCTGTGCTTGATAAGGTGTTTAGCTACCAATTTAGCATTTCAACTATGAAGTATGTTGGTTGATTTGTACCTAGGAGAGAGCTTTCCAGTTTAGTCTAGTAAACAGGGGCTATTGCCATATGAATGGAATGCTGAGATATGTGGTGTTTTATGATTTTGGGTTATTTTTCTTTCCTGATAAAAATTTACCAAAAGGGTAACCTTGATTCGTATAAGACAACTAGTTTTAAAATATAATATCTACGAAAAGGTTAATTTTGAATCTCGAAAAATTTGAAGATCAGTACCAATGTTAATGTATATTTTTTATTTGAATTAACTCCGTAGGTCAGCTTTAGTTAAGTCACCTTCACAGTTTCTAAAGATTCGTGGGTTATCTAATAGAATAAAACTATAGTTTAATTTCAATTATCTAGTACAAAGTTAAATAAGTTAAATGTAGGTAGATGAAATAATGCGCATTCCCATTGAGTTTTACGATGCTAATGTTGTACTAAGCTGTATCTTCACTCAATTAGTCTCTCTAATAAACCCTAAATTATAGGGAGATGGTCTTTTTTTATGGGTTGGAAACAAAAATCATCCCACAAACATAAAAAGAAGAGACAAAATTTGCTAGATTATGTAATGTGCCTTGTGTAGACCAGTTGTAATATGTTGACCCGATCTCCACGTCGCCCCTCAGTATTAATGGCAATAACACAGTCTCTTAAGCCTTAACCCATGTGAGTGACAACCGAGAACCGACAACCATATGTCGTCTACCACCATTTTTTTGGTAAAAAGATCATTAAAATCTCTGTCACATGCTTAACACGCTATAAGCTAGAGAATGCTACATGCTTTACTGGGGAAACTCTTAATTAATTGTAACAAATAAATAATCAAGGCTAATATAGAAATCCGTGGCCTTTATATGAAAAAAAGCAGGGCTTATTTCAGTGAGCTGCTGATTTGTTTAGTCGAAAGAGAAGCCAAGTAGGGGGCTGCCTGGTTAATTAAATGTGATTTGTATTAAAAAGAAAGCAATGTCCTTCCACATGGTCCATTGGCATGGCCAGCTCATTCTCTGTTATTTCAACCTGCCAGTCAAAATCTCATATCCAGCTACCTCATTAGATTCTCTCTTTAATGTTGTTTTTAATTTTGCTGCGGCATAAACAAGTTAGATAAATAAAAGAAAGTAAGGTGAATAGTGGATGTGGTTGGATCCAGCGATGGGCGACGTATAAATACAAGAAGAGAACGCAGGCTGCAAGCATGCATGTTATCTCCCCTGCCCTTCCTGATCTCTCTGTGAGAGTACCAAATGGCTTGCTTGGACTCGTACAAGAGCCCAGATCAGAAGGGACACTACCCGCCGATGAGCCCAAGATTGTCCTTTTCCAATGACTTCGTCGAATCCCATCACTCCACCAACACCAACACCAACACCCATATCAGTCAACATCAAAACATCCCTCCAAATATTTCGGCCTCCGACGACTTCGAATTCTCTGCACTCACCAATCCCAGTAATCACACAATGACCGCCGCCGACGAGCTCTTCTTCAAGGGGAAATTGTTGCCCACTCTCAGAGATGAGCTTCTCCTTCACGACGACGACGACGACGCTATTGTAGTGCCGTCGTTCGTGCCCCCGAAAGGCCTACCAAAATGGAAAGAGTTTCTCAGCCTCAAGAGATCGGTTGTTGATGGGCGCTGCACGGGCACGGGCACCCACAACGACAACAATCAAGGCAAAATGCCCAAGTTGGCCCTCCATGATAAGTCATCGCATGTTGACATGACTTCGTAGATCGATCAGAAACTCAACTAGAACTGTGCGCCTTTTTCTTTTTGTTGTTTATGGTTCTTATGATGGCGTTGGTATATCAGCTGGGCTGTTTCTGTACAAATTTGTTGAATGTTTGTTTGCAATTAATTCTGTGTTGCTTGCTCCATTCTCTCTAACATCATCATGCATGCGTTCGATGTCTTTAGCGTTCTTGGCCCAGATTCGTTATTTTACTGGATGAATGCCTGTGTGTGGCGCTTTGTTTCTTCCATCCCCTACTCACTTGAAGGAAAATATTTGGATCTACTTCTGGATCGGGTCAGACATTCATAGTTCTAGCTATTCTCCTTTGAACTACAAAATTTTAATGAATTTGTTCACCTTGTACAGTTTGAAATCTCATTCTCTAAAGAAAAACTTCAACATTATTAATTACAAATTATCAATTTTTTTTTTTAAATTGACCATTAAATTCTGTTGTTTGAACACTTGAAATTTTTATGTATGAAGTTTTTTTTTTTTTTTTTTTTTTT